ATGCCCGGAGCAAACTGTAGGCCACTTCGTGCTCTTCGAGCTCCCAGAACTCCATTCCTGGGCCACATTTTGAATGCCCGGAGCCAACTGTAGGCCACTTCGTGGTCTTCGAGTTCCCAGAACTCCATTCCCGGGCCACATTTTGAATGCCCGGAGCAAACTGTAGGCCACTTCGTGCTCTTCGAGCTCCCAGAACTCCATTCCTGGCCCACATTTTGAATGCTCGGAGCCAACTGTAGGCCACTTCGTGGTCTTCGAGTTCCCAGAACTCCATTCCTGGGCATGATTTTGAATGCCCGGAGCCAACTGTAGCTGTAGGCCACTTCGTGGTCTTCGAGTTCCCAGAACTCCATTCCTGGGCATGATTTTGAATGCCTCGAGCCAACTGCAGGCCACTTCGTGTTCTTCGAGTTCCCAGAACTCCATTCCCGGGCCAAATTTTGAATGCTGAGGCAGGCTGAGGCTGAGGCTGAGGCTGAGGCAGGGTGAGGCGGAGGCAGGCTGAGGCTGAGGCTGAGGCTGAAGGCAGACTGAGGCTGAGGCTGAAGCAGGCTGAGGCTGCGGCTGAGGCAGGCTGAGGCTGAGGCTGAGGCAGGCTGAGGCAGGCTGAGGCTGAGGCTGAGGCTGAGGCTGAGGCTGAGGCTGAGGCAGGCTGAGGCTGAGGCCGAGGCTGAAGGCAGACTGAGGCTGAGGCTGAAGAGGCTGAGGCTGAGGCTGAGGCAGGCTGAGGCTGAGGCTGAGGCAGGCTGATGCTGAGGCAGGCTGAGGCTGAGGCTGAGGCTGAGGCAGGCTGAGGCTGAGGCAGGCTGAGGCTGAGGCCGAGGCTGAAGGCAGACTGAGGCTGAGGCTGAAGCAGGCTGAGGCTGAGGCTGAGGCAGGCTGAGGCTGAGGCTGAGGCAGGCTGAGGCTGAGGCAGGCTGAGGCTGAGGCTGAGGCTGAGGCTGAGGCTGAGGCTGAGGCTGAAGGCAGACTGAGGCTGAGGCTGAAGAGGCTGAGGCTGAGGCTGAGGCAGGCTGAGGCTGAGGCTGAGGCTGAGGCTGAGGCTGAGGCTGAGGCTGAGGCCGAGGCTGAAGGCAGACTGAGGCTGAGGCTGAAGCAGGCTGAGGCTCAGGCTGAGGCAGGCTGAGGCTGAGGCTGAGGCAGGCTGAGGCTGAGGCAGGCTGAGGCTGAGGCTGTGACTGCGACTGCCGTTGCCACTGCGACTGTCATCGCGAATGCGACTGCGACTGCGAGAACAACAGAATTCTGCAACTGGATTCTCATTTGAATCTTGAGGGGAATGCTTCCAAATATGCTCCTACACATCACTGTTAGGTTGCTTTGCCGGGATAATTGGAGGAACAATAACAAGGTTGTCAAACATGATCAACAACAATCAACATGATCAGCATCAAAAAAACGTACCCTGACTATTTTTTACTATTACTGAATACCCCTCCTGTAGAAGAACATGCCCGACTTCAGTCAAGCATGGAGAAGATAACACCCACTGGACTACAAGTCTGCGTCTTCGTCGGACCTTCGTCAGGGCACCGAGCCAACTGGCCTCTGCAGTGCGTGGGACGGTGGCACACACTTGTGCGTAGCACGTGGAATGGAACTCAGATGTGCAACCTTGGCGAGGCTTTGGAAAGAGCCAAGTGCAGCGGCTTGCTGCCCTGCGAAGTGGTCCAAGATCGCGCGGCGACGGCTGCATGCAACAATACGAGGCACCTACCCACAACCACCACCACGAGCCTGCTCGCTAAACGAGGCCATGAATGTGTCGATGCTTTGAGTAGGGCTGGGGGGTCAGGTCTGCAGAACACCCCACACGGACGTCAAGGGGCGCAATCAACCTGTTCAGTCAAGCTGAATTTGATGGACCACACCCGCCGTCAAGCCAAAACCTTGGACATAAGCGAATGGTTGGTTGTTGTACATCTTCACCGGCTTAACCGGCGAGGCGATTGACCACCTTGACGTCCCCTTTTTGGTGGTCTTGCAGAGAAAGTCTCTCTCTGACCCTCGGCCCCACTCAATCGATGCTAGTACTTGCCTGTTGTTTTTGCCCGCAACGCATCGCACCCAGTCGCGCGTAATGAATCCTCTGGACCGAATGCGCCAGAACACAAAGAGGACAGTGCGCCATAATCAAACGATAGTATTTGCCTTGTGCTTGAGCGGCCATGCGAACACACCTGGTGTCGTCATACCCTCGGGCTGGAAGATATGTTTGTTCCCGATGTATGCATGCAGTGTGCTTGGGCTGGGCACCATCAGCAACAGTGTCGAAATCAACGCGTGCGAGAAGCGGGATGCAGCGAGATCGATGTAGTGGTACCATGAAGCTTGCCGCAGTGGAGACAGCCAGAGCGGAACAGACGGACAACAGACAACACACCAGCGGCATCGCAACCCAGGGGCGTGGACAACAGGCGGTCGAGCCGACTCTTCCAGACAACTTCCAGTTCACTCTCGAGAGCTGACGCCTCCGAGATTCCCCCGGCGAGCTCCCTTCGGCTTGAGCTGAACAACTCAATTTGGCATAATACCTGGAACACATTGCGTAGACCAACGCAACATCAACGTCATGCTCAACTCAGCGTCTGGCAAACCTCAGAGCAGTGGAACTGAAAGCCGTTATCCTGCCCAGCCTTAGGCTGCCAGCACCCGTCGTGCTGCTCAGCGACGTGCTCCTTGTACCCAGTCATGCTCCTTGTACCCCGTCCTGATGGTACCCGCAGTGCTGCTCACGAGTGGATGTAAGAGCCGTGGATGTCCGATGACAGCGGTAGTGGCCGTGATACTAGTGTTGCTAGTAGTCATTGCACATATAGCGCGAATGCAAAAGCGCGTCAGCAAATCGGTGCGTCTTGCAGTGGCGATATACATGACGGAAAAGGTATCGGCCGTGGGCCATGGGGTGGCTCGCAGTACATTGACGACGGCTTCCAGGCCGAGCACTGCAGTACCCCGCGAGAGCAGTTGCCGAATCCTGGTGGCCAGGGCACTCTTCCCCCGATGTCTTGTGCGCCATGCGTTCCAACTATTGAATGCAGCGAAAGCGTTTCAAATAAGCAGCTACGCGCTACGCACCAGCGCAACCGTTCCCTTGCACATGCTGTATCCCTCACCGCCGTGACGACGCACGTGTCAAACATTACTAGCTCCGCTGCTCCGTGCATGGCCATGCACGCTCCTCGGGGGGACGCAGCTGGAGCCTCCTAGCGCCGCTGAGCGGAAAGGGCCTCGTCGTCGTCGAGGGGCAAAGGCCTCGTCGCCGTCTTTGGGCCCCAGCGTCTCCAGCAGAATACAAGTGCCCGTCTTCGGCGTGCTTCCCCGCACGCGGCGCGCAGCTCTGTCGACTCGCGCCCTCTGCGGACCCTGATCACCAGGAGCAGCGCGAGGCAAAGAGCGAGCGGCGCAGGCATGGTGTGGAGCGCCGCTCTGCGCCGGTCTTCCGTTCGTTCCTCCTGGGACCGACAGCGCCTGCTCAGGCTTCGTTGTCGGAGGGCAGCGGGCGAGCACCACGGGCAGCTCTCTGCCCCGCCCCCCTCCCCCCCGTCCGAGACAGCAGAACCCACTCTTGAAGCAGGAAAACAGGCGGTTGCCAGAACGAGTTTAGAAACGGACTCGCGAAGCGTTAGCGCGCAATCCATGTTTTGGAGAGCGCCCGGCCCACGTGAAACGTTTCGGTGCGCGGCGCGAATGCGAGAACCATCTTTTGAAAACGGCGAACCCTCCACCCTTGAAACAAAAAGGAACGCGTCAAAACAATGCGCGCGACACTAAGGCGATGCCCGCACTTTGTGAAAACAAATCGCCATACATCCGTGCAGTCGGTGGAACTGTCAGGCTTGAGATTCGCGCATAGGGGCTCTCAGGGGCGATGCTCGGATCGCCCCAGCGGCGCGTCTTGCAATGCGACGAAAGCGAGGTGCCGACACGCCAGAAAAATGAATGGAACGCCAGCGCCCATGAGGCCCAGAAGCCGTAAAACTCTTAGCGCCTGTCGCGCCAAGCAATGTTGTTCTGGCATAGGCACCGAGTCGGCCTGGCACCGTGCCCGTGGTTGTGGTAGCCTGTCATGTTCACTGGCCAGCTCATCCTGTACTTGACCGCGGTAGTAGTAGTGCCGCGCGCGCGAGCCGCGATGTAGGCTGGCGGGCGCGCGGGGTCCTGCGCGAAAGCTGGTCCAACGCGTCGTTTGGTGGTGGTCGTGCGCCTGGTACTCGGCGGCTTGGCAAACGCGGCAGTTGGCACGTCATTGCCAAACCTCTCGCGCATCTCGCCAGTCTAGTTTGCGGCGTTGACGGGGGCAGGCAGACCTGCTCCTCTTCGTTCCGCCGCAGTTGCCAAGCGTGCGCATGCGATCGAAGATGCTTCGCGTGTCTTGGTTACCACCTACGCGTGTACTCTCAGACGCCAGACAAGG